CGCAGTTTAACCGGAGTTTAACTAAAGGATGTGTGTTTAGGACGCTAGTTACATGCTCCACGGTCACGTTTACATAACGACGGGTTACTTCGGAGGTGCTTTAGAGGATTTTCTGTTGGTAGTTTGTTTGCGTTGTTGGGATGTTTTGTTTCGTGCTCATGAGAATATTACTTAAAGTAGGTTTTAGTTCACGCAATCACCAACAAGGTCGGCAATTTCTGAAATAACGAATTGTATTTAATCCGCCTCCAAATGTATTGTCGCATACATGTCGCATACGATGTCGCATACGATGTCGCAAACAAATGCGTCCCTTCATTTCATTTCACACATATGACATATTTATTTACTATCTTAACTTACCAATACAAAAGAGAACATATATATAAGCGTGCACAATAAGTAGGACTACATTGTTCAACTAAAATATAGTAGAATCAAAATTACATAATATCTGATGAAGGTTTGTGTGGGCGTGATTTAACTTCCTTCGTATTATTTACTACGTAATACATTCGATTTCTTAAATATATAAACATGAAGCAATATCAATTACCTAGCGTACAACTAATTTTCAGGAAATAGCGTTCTTTATCCTAAACGGTAAACTCAACCTGTGACCCGACAAGATTTAACCTTACACTGAATTAACTGTCGTTTAAAGTTTAATTGGATATTTATTGTTATCGCCAATTAGGTAGGAGTTGTCCTTTCGGTTTCGTGATTTAAATTAACTACCGGTTTATCTAATGATAAGGAATGCTAATTGTACTATTCGTATGTAATTATCCATTTCCTGATGAATATATGGGTCACTTGTTGTATATCGATGCCTGTAGTATAATTGTATGTGTTACATTTATCATACTCAATATACTTCTTTTCTTATTCTTATGAACGGTTAAAGTTAAAAAAGTTTACCATAGATCCCAATTGAAGAATAATTATGTCGTTCACTTGTAATTTAATTAGCTGATCTACCTTTAGTTATAATTTAATTGATGACTCTTATAAGCCGAATCGAAATATGTGGGGTAATATAAATAAACCATTTCTAAAATCATGATAAATGTTTCATAAATTGTTTTTTGTTTCAGGTAATGCCGCGTTTGTCACGTGCTTAAACATAATTTCAGTGAGTAGCAGCCCCGATTTATTTTTAAATGGGTTATAAGATTTGGGGCTGATAGCACCTTAAAAATACCTTGTTGTATGTTAACTTGACGATGCTGAACTAATGCGCCGATTTTAAGAAATTTTCCTTGTATGTTTTAACGCAAAGCCAGCAGCTCTTTTGGCAAATTTGATCTATTCCTACTTACCATTGTTTAAGGTAAATATACCTAAGCATATGTAAATAGTATTATAGAGGTTAACTCCATTTCTCATACTGTTTTAATTCCTGGAACAAAGCACGACCTTAAACCATGTTTGCAATAACGCATATTACAAATATAATAACGTGATAAATGAGTCATGTGTCCGCGTATCAAGGTGCTCTCTTACTTCCGTGTTATATTACTTAGGTACTTTAATTATAACTATTTCTAATGGACATTGTGAACGCGAGTTTAATTGGATTGCTGGATTGTCTCGACTTCATATATCATCTCTCTCTAGTCTTAAAACTTAAACGTATATAAACGCAAATTCATACATAACAATTTCTTTTAATTTACTCAATACTCAAAACCGTTTACGACGACATCGTTTAGAACAACATACCGGTTATATTGACCAAAATCAAAGGTCCCGGAGGAATTCTATTTTATTAGGTTCTTAATAACAACGTCATCGGCTGTTACGACTATGATGTCGTTATAACAGATTTTGACTGTATTGTAGAAAAGGTTCTGGGAGCATGTGACACAAAATGTAGCCTTAGTAAGTGACAGACTAGCGACTATGTAACCATATCTAGGAAACTATGTGAATTGTTTAGATATATTCATATTGAAATAAACGTATAGTATTTCTTTATGTACGAATATTATCACGTTGCAAAATTCTATGGAAGCTTATAGTGTGTCAAGTTACTCCGATTTCAATATCATATATTATGCTGATGAAATAATATATATTACGCGGGATGTGGAATATTTTACTGGCTTTTATCTACCGCTTTGCTTTGCTGTCACTAAGCGGAAGGCTCCTATACATTTTTCATTTAGAAATTATTTACATAAGTTTATAGTATACAAAAAAGATATAAACATATTTAGAACATCAAAGTTTTATTACAAATGCAAAAAAAACTTAAAATACATAGATAAGTGAATCCTAAGTCATCGCGGCAACTGGCAAGGTAAACTCTATGCAAAACACATTAGAGAATACATTTATTTACGTTTATAAAATTGTAGGTATAAAAATCGAGGCATCTACATTATGTACAGCCTTAAAAAGTCGTACGATCTAAGATAAAGATGCCTATAAAAAGTTATAATCTACTTAACTGAGAACAAACTCGAAACTCATCATAAACTTTTAAAATATTCTTTTAACTTCATAAACCCTCTCAATGATGTAGCTATTTTGAAACAATACAGCGTAAACAAAGGGGTATATTTCAGTGCGTATTTTGATTAATAACCACCGTTTTGTACCTCTGTCAGGTTCAAAAATATTAAAAAAATGCGTCGCGCCGCCCGTCATCTAACCCAAAATCAGAGGCTATTCAAGATCACAATGGACTTGAAATTATGTCAAATAACCCGTATTACGTGACTGCTAAGGGCTATATTGACCGCCAAATATTTTGGGACCCATTTATTCAATTTTCGCCTCTAAAGAGGTCCTGATAAATGGCGTTTTAGCGTGACTATTGGAATACGAGCTGGCGTCGATGATGTTTCGTATAAAAAACGATACGTGGGCGGCCCCATTCGGGACTGGCACTAAACCTGAGGGATGCTTATAAAACAAGATTTGTTTCATATTTTGATATCACAAAAGAACGTAATGAAATTCTAGTCGCACGTCGTACAGCGTGACGTGACACAGTGTAGTTTGTTTGTAGAAGTAAATCCAACCTCACCTAGGGTGGGTGGGGTTGAACTAACCCACTCGAATTAAACGATGCAATGGACTTTGCCCTGTAGGCTAACCGAAACTAATGACGGTTCGGCCTTAGCCCTGATAATAAATACTTTCGCGATTATTTTATTCGAACAAACGGTTTAGGAAGAGAGCTCCAAGGAAAATCGAATAACCTTTAACGAAAAGTATTAGGTTACCGAACAATACAAGGGCGTCGGAAACCGCAACAATTCGTGGAAACACTGAGGGAATAGCCGCATCCGCTTCGTGCCCATGCGCATGCAAATGTCGAATTTGGGATATATTTACATAGTTTGAATGATTAATGACTCAAGTCCGCTGATAAATTATTCTGTTTTGTGTTAATTACAAATGAATAATGTGTGTAGAAAAGATGTTATCTCTGAAGCCTCGAACAGCATCAATCGGTAGTCAATGTCAGAACATAAAAATATCTATATTAAAACTGTACTTGTATAAAGAGTTAGGTTATTGCAGAACGCGGGTTGAACCACGGCAGTTAATATTAAACTCTATTAAAATTCAGTGCTTATTGAGATTTATTATCCAGGAGCTAGCCTATCGGAAGCGAATTATTATTGGCTCAATGCGTTTCCGCCTCACAGCCTTCCTACAATACTCTGAAAAAAATACGAATCGTATTTTACCTAGCGATAGCCGTAATTGGCTTCGATTTTCACTTATTATAGCTACGTTTCGTTTATTTTTCGTATAATATTAACATATAAAGACAATTTAGATGTGGAATTGAAAAAATCACTTCTAAAGAGATACTAACATTTTTATTCAATAATAGTTTTGTCATATTGTCAAAAACGCCCACATTAACTCTTTTTACATAGACCAACAAAGACTAAAGCATCATATCAAATCTTAACTATAAAAATTAACAGCCTTAATCGAATTCGGTTTTCGGTTTCACGAATACTTTGATTTGGTTTCAACGCCACGGGACCAAATTAAACGTTCAAAAACACCCTATTTCCTTAACATAAATCTTGTAGCGACATCTTAAGGTTAATTTCATTTGGTCATAAATCCTCTATGTCAGAGGGATCGTGCTTCTATTTACAAGTACATGGTACGGCTATTTCCAACCGGCTCACCATATTGAAGGGTATCAATAACGAAGAGGTGTCAGGAGTTCACGTTGGCTGTAAAATGGGTGTTCGAGGAATAATCACATGTAAAAACTGAAGCTCATGCAGCGCTTCCTAATGGAAACTGAAATATCGACTTAAATTTTCAGCATCTTAATCAAGTATAAAACTATAACTCTTTCAAAGTTTCAAACTAAAGCATAAAGATTTTACATATTCTTCGTTCTGAACTTAAAAGGCTTGCTTCCGATCTCGAATAAGTTTAAAGCGATCTTAGGCTTATTTGTGATGAGAATCTGGTAATGTTTAAGTTTGATATGTTATATAACTAGAAATCTTGATTTACAGCCCTAACACTAAGAACGTAATACTTACCTTCATATCTATGCGGGGACAATGCCTTAGCTGATGTTTCTATTCACGATTTTCTTTGTGTTTCCATTTTAATATTAGAAGAGGTTCTCGCTGGCAGCATTCCCATGTGCGGAGTTTGTATGCGGAAGAATTTTGCAATTACGCAGATAAACTGTAATTAATTAATATGTGACATACTTGTTGTGTTTCAAGGGCTTTTACGCACAATTTATAAAACAGGACGATAAACTCCTTGTTTACTTACGCATAGTATGATAATATTTTGTCATAACATTAAATTTGTAAAATATGTTGCGAGCTTATCACATTTTATAAACAGAATATAATATACTTGAATTAAAACTCTTCTCTTGAATTAAATCACATGAAGTGTAACTTTGTCTTGACACAATAAAACCAAGTAAAAACTAAGTGCGATGATGTATAGAGTCGAATGCAGGCTGCGCCCGCGCAGGTAGGTATGCGCTATTCTGAGACATGGTCACTGACCACGAGACCTTTCCTCGGGGTGACTGTACCACCATTGTATATTGACCCTTGCGCCAAAGGACTCATTAAAGGAACATGCGAGTTCTCTAAACTGGTTTTGCCGACCGGCCGAAGAAGACCCATCTCGTTTTCTCGATCCCTAAATTGAAATAAAGAACGTCCTTCCTGACACGGCTCTCGGTAAACTGGTCGCCGTTGTCGCATTTCTTTTTGTATCCCATATGTTTTCTGGTTATTTTTATGTCCTTGAATGTTCGCTGTGGTCTCTCTTATATTTATAGCTCTTGAAGTGCGTTACAAAATTGGATGCATTTTTCAATGTTATGCCGGCTTTAGCCGTAAAAGACATTACAATAGGATCGTTTGTCAAATTCTAATAATAACCGTGTCATTCTCGAAGTCCCTCATTATTCAGATCAATATCGAAAGTCTGATTGATTATGATTAAATACTTTACCACTCCTTAGTAGTTCAATTGAACAATTGCAAAAACTTATTTCCTCAATCTCAACAGCTATAAGCTGACTTAAATTTTAAATACTATTTATCAGAATGTCTTAATTTAATTATCTGTACTGGTTAAAAGAAAAAAGGTTAATTTATTGCTAAGGCAAAATAATTTTATTCACTAAAGCAATTTTAATGATGGTGCAATAGATTTTTCAAGGATATATAAACTAATGTGAACGGAAACACGCGATGTCTCAGTAGTCCGCAGACGAACAAAAACTCTTCCAAGAAATCCGTCTCCCAATATGACACGTGACCGGCCGAAATTCCTAAAGAAATCGAAATGTTCTTAAATCATAGCCTCCGCTTTATATCGGGTTATAAAAACATCTATTGCAGCCCATGTTGAATTCAACTTTATAGCTTCTAGAAAAGGTTGGTTTTTGCAGTGGCATTCGAAATAGAGCCTTAAGGCAGACCGGGGTACCTCGCTCGACTGGTTTGAGACCTGTTACACTTCGTTTTGTTTTGTTTCGAGCACTGACCATCGCAACAAAGGTCTTGATAGTTTTTTTAAAGCATCGCCTACCCACGGCGAGGACTAGGATCGCTGTTCTGCGTTTATTTATTTTCATTTCTTTACAAGGAAAAGCCAAACAATAATACTTAGAGTAACATACATACTACCATAAAACTACTAAAAAATATTATATTATTTGAAATAAAAAACATCTTACATTCATCCCTCAGTCTTCCCAAAACTGTCGCAAATAGGTATCATATAGCAGTGAAACCACATGTCAATGTTGCTTGTATTTCTTCTCATAGGCAATTTTGTCGTTAAGCATATTAAAAAAGCGCAGAATCGTAATCCAAGAGCATACATTCAACATGTGTTGTCACCAATTTAGATATTTTTGTGGCACCAGGCACTCCACAATATCCGCAGTACGATTTGTTGACAGTAAAAATGTCTAAATATTTTAAATAAAATATGTATAGTTTGTATGTTACCAAACTCGGAAGTGATTGTTCTCAAATATGATAACAAACAATATGATTTTAATGGAATACTATCAAAGGGGCGTTAAAGACAAATTGATTATTATACTCAAGCGGAGGGTAATCAAAGTTGAAAGCGATATTGTACTTACCGTACATCCAGAACTTGGAGCTATATTCTGGATCTTCAACAGAAAACATCATTTTATAATCAACAAAACAAAATACCACACACTTAGTGCCAGGAACAAACGGATCGCTTTATCCCTTAACTACCCGGCAATAAATAAAATCCGTTTAATTTGGTCCACTAATGACATATAGAATCTTATTAACCGAAGTATCCTCATTCAGAGGTGCGTCTGACGTTGACGCAGGTTCAACCCTAATCACCTGTACAACATACTTTATACGAAACGGAATTTAACCAAATATTTAAATTAATTCCACCTGAGAAATAGTATTTTTATATATTCTTGTACTACTACAAATTCACTAAGAGAACGAATATAGTGTATGTGGTGACTTAACATTCCGACGTCAAATAGTTCTTGGTTAAATCATTCTCCAGAAAATCTCCGGTGTAGTTCAGCAAAGTATAGCTCAAGGTTAAATCGATTTGGATAAAAGTCAAAATCGTATTCTGAAATTAGTCATACTATATTTTAATACTTGTTTTCTAAGTGCATGCATGTTAATGCTAAAACCCATATTCTCGGGAAGAATAAAGTAATTAACTTAATCAAACATATTGCCAAGAAAAACCACAAATACTTCGCAATCTATCTAAATAAATGAATCATTTCTCAATTTAATAGTTGTAATGGTGTACGTGAACCGAAACACGCACGTCTTAAACTCAAACATCAAACAGAAATCGGTTTGTTTTTGTGAACACGAAATAATATTAAATTTATGATCTATCGAACGTAAACGTATGGACAGTGAAGCCAAAGATCTCCATTGAAGTTCACGACAAAAAAAGATTTGAACGTATCTTGCGCAGACGCCGCGCAATTCTTAGAACGGAAGTGATTGAGGCCCGAACTATTTTTGTAGAGCTTCACATTCCCTCTAATATGTCTGTGTCTCGCTACATTAATGTATTTTAAAGATATACTCAATTGATGGTAGATAACAGAGTATCAGAGTTGCTTTCGTATCTACTCCGTAGTTTGTCTCATTTCGATGACGAACTGAAATTAAAATTAAATCTATTTTTAAAATGTCATCTATACGATATGTATACAAGTATATCTCATAAATGTATGCAATATGAAGGAATTAAACCGTGCCATTATAACGAGTGAAAAATGGAAACCCAGTTCTGAAGCGTCTCCATTGTATTTCGTAAGAAAGTTCGTCCCTGTTCGTCTATATATGAGTCGGCCAAGTGTTCATATGCTTGTGAACACATTGCAATGTTTATGTTGTATATTTCTGGAGTGACCGTGTGTGCTGCCACGTGGGGTAACCACCGCACTGTACACCAACATAAACAAAATACATGCGGGCTAATATACACCGTATGACGGGGCAGTGAGGGCAATAACAGCTTGAACGAGGCTCATTCCTTCTTTGATGACATGCTCTCTGATTGTTATGAACGTTTTAGGCTTATTCTCAAAACCGTAGACTTGTAAGGAGTTTTTGCGGTTATAAACGGTCGCAACGGGTTGTTTGTTTGAACATCTTTAGATAAATAATATTTCCTTTCTGCGTTATTTTAGGATTATCACTCACTCACTCATGACATGGGCAATGTTGGTGGTTAACCTGTTAAGAATGTTATATTTCTTATGATTAATAATGTTGTTTTTCTTTTACCTGAAATTACAAGGATCAGCATTTCTTTACTTTTAATCCAGTAAGGGAAAAACAATTTGAAATAACTTAGAGAGTATTAGTTTGTACGAGTTGTTTACTTAGTCTAGTACAAAATAAATAAATGTAATATTGTTAATAAAATTCCTTATTTGAAAGCAGGACAGATGTTTTAGTAATAAAATAGTTAATTTAGATTGTAGGTGTAAACCAACAAAGCTATTTTAATGCAGACCAAACAAATTCGTCAAATTAAAAAATCTCGCTCGTTATGAACACGAATTTTATGCGAAATATTTTACGGTTTTACGGATAAAGCTTTTGATTAGGGCTGTGGTGCCATAAACATTATGGAGGCTTTGGAGCTAATTATGAAACAATGGAAATCAGTATGCGTCAGTGGGAAATTTTCGGACATTTTGTTTGTTTGTCACTGGGCGTGTTTTAATGTGATTTAGGTTGATGTGTGTGACAGATTGTACAAGTACATGCATATATTAAGAGACTCAAATGCGTAGGTATTATTAGCTGAAGATTGCTCATCTATTTGATATCCTATTTATTATATTTAACAAAAGCTTCAATCCAGTACAACAGTATTTATTTTTAGACTCAAATCTAAAAACCCCAAAGTTGAAGGAAGGGTCCAGAAGCTATAAAAGGCATGTAGATAACGTTAATAACACTAAATGTTGAAAAAAGATGCCAAATATAGAAATATCTCTATAGAAACTTCGACACGACACAGTGAAATATGAGCGCCCCAACATTGACCCGAGAAATGGGAGCTTTTTTCTCATATTCGAAGGAAATATGATGTCGAAACGTGCTACTTTTTGCTCTAACATTCTGAATTATTTTTGTCTGGAAATAACTCGCAGATGACACCGATGTGAAACGGTACTGGAAACGATTATTACTTGTCTATGGTATTATTGAACTTTTTCTTGTTACGCTGTGCTCAGTGCGTTTATAATTTCGGCTTTGGCTTATCCAGACTGGAGAGCATGACTTTATATCGGCAGCGAAGTTAATGATTGCGTATAAAATGCCTTTTAAGATACCTCTCACGGAGCAAAGTATTTAACGGTTTACCGAATAATTAATTTCCATTCGAAACGAAAAAGTTTTCCTCCGAAAGATAGCTCCTTCAATTGGGAGAGGCGGTCGGGAATTTTATTTAAGAGCGAGAGAATGAGATGGTTTGGCTTGTGAAGAGGTGACCAAGATTTTGGTATCTTGTGGCATTTTTATATTATATTTTTTTAGAAAGTGTACTTTGACATGCTTTTGAATAGAATTTTCTGGTACAGATGGAAAAACTGTTAGGTGTTTCACTTCCATTATTTTTGTATTTAATTGTTTTGTAACATAGTATGAAACATCTGAATTTAACTTGTGAAGAGGTGACCAAGATTTTGGTATCTTGTGGCATTTTTATATTATATTTTTTTAGAAAGTGTACTTTGACATGCTTTTGAATAGAATTTTCTGGTACAGATGGAAAAACTGTTAGGTGTTTCACTTCCATTATTTTTGTATTTAATTGTTTTGTAACATAGTATGAAACATCTGAATTTAAATACATTGACCTGAAACAGTACGAACAGTGTTTTAATGCGTAAACCTAAAATATCTAAATTTTTGTTGTTCGTCAAGCTGTGGTCACCCTACCAATACACTTTAGGTTCACCGCAGACTTGGGGATTGCAAATGAATTATTAATGCCTACATTCATATAAACCTGGCCGTTTTCCCATTCTACCTTAAATTTTACTTTGTACTGCGCCTCCGGAATCTATTGCGTATCCTTCTAAATTCTAGAGTTTAACGTATCTCGGATATCGAAAATTACATAGAATATACCTACTTGAAAAAGTTTTTTAATATTAGAAAATAATGAAATAATTTTGTATCGGTTTTAACTAGTACATATATGTAGACACGGTCTAAAAGCAAAAAGCTTTTTGTAAACAAAGTAAACACAAAAATAGAAAGTTTAATATGAACTTCATAAAGGCCCATTAAGTCAGGAAATAAAATACACATGGAAAAATAACACCTATTTGGTCGCCTTGGGCGCAAATTGATTTTTAATTGCGCCCAATAATAATGTTTCGATGGTTCAAAAAGGAAATGAAGATGTTTTATTATGCTATTAATACAAACGATCCTCAATATTTATAATGATAACAGTAGGAAACGTAGGAAACAAACAGACAGTTTCAAACAAAATCGTTTAATGTCACACTCAATTGCACTCCTTTGTATTAATTCGAGTTGATCACAACGCCATCTGTTATGTCATTGTCAAACCCTTCGAATTGATTAGCGAAGAACTTTGAACCTTATTTCTGAACTTTAAAGTTAAATATTGCATGTATTTTTATACCCGTATCATTGTAGTAAAGCACTTGCCCGTATGTCGTGTTTTTGCTTATTGTCACTAGTTTCTGCTCTATTGAGACTTTTAGATATACTCTATATGTAGCTGTACAATGTTTATTAAGCTATATAAATGTATGTTCATGCTAACGAGATGAAGAGATTTACAAATTTTAACAATATTCAGTTTACATTTAGTTTTTTCTTGTTCCTTCCTTCCTTAACTTCATTGATCGGAACCGCGTCACGGTAAAGACTCTATCCATTGGCTTCCTACTAACTTGTATCCGAGCATCTTGTAATTAACATATATACACGCTCTTTTACTAGTTATTTAAGACAAATGATACTTTTACGCCTAAATATATCTCAGACAATTTCACCAGACCAGACCGAGTCTACACAAAACTATTACCGCTATTGAATACATCCCTCCATATTTAAGACCAAATTTGATAGGCTTTTGACGCGCACGTGTTTGTTAATTAAACAATCTAAATTCAACGAGATTTACTTATAGATCGCTGGGTCCCTATATTCCCTTGGGAGGCAATTTATATTATGAGTAGCCTTTGACCGCGGCTTCAAGGGAGGTGCAGATTTGCTAAAATACGTAAAGCCCTTTTATATACGGGGCATAGGCAAACATGTTTCAACATGTCTTGTTGATTTCATTAGGCAAGTGGGTGGTCAGCGTTAATGTATGTGCCTTATCAGTATTCGACTTGCCGGCTTCGTTGCAAACTTTTCGCTCACCAACCTCACAGAAAAGCTCGGGTTGCGAAACTTGCGTTGGAACTTCAGAAGTTACATGCTACTAACATACTAGGCTATACATACACAAAGAAGTTCTCAGAGAAAATAATTAAATGCTCTTGCTAAATATTATATTCCATAATAATGTGCAAATAATACTGTAACGTAGTAAAAGCACAAATTAAATTCGATATTGTGTTATCATTACCTCGGATGTTATTGATATTTAAAATTAACAT